AGCTCTGAATGGCACATGAAAGTCTAAATTCATGAGTAAATTTTCAGTATTAACAGTACCATGCACTACCTCGTTGATAGCCTTTCGAGGCGAAATAAAGACAGCACCAAATCGTAACTAAAAAACAGTTTCCGACCAATGTGTCGGTCATAAATAATTCGCACAAACCTCTTCTGCACACGCTTAATGATTGCAACTTGCGTTAAAGATAGTGGATATCTTTTTCAAGAAAGCATTCCCGTATCGCTTTTGATTATACCTTGGAAAAATGCTTGGTTGAGCTCGTTTTAGTGGTGCGAGATTTGGGCGTATTCTTAGATAGTGAACTGAAGTTCTCTGAACATGTGGCATTTTTGCATGTTACCGCACCTTGGGAGCAATCGCGAGAATGACTCGCAACTTTAAGACTTATTCTTGTTTTTTATACCTTTATCAGTCGCTCATCTTGTCTAAGTTAGACTTCGCTAGCATTATATGGAATTGTTTAAACGAGACAAACGCAACGGAACTGGAAAATGTACAGAAAAAGTTTGTTCGAGTTCTCTATGATCGTTATTTTAACAGGCGGATTTGCTTCAGCCATGAGCACTTAATAGATATTTTACATCTCCATTACTTGTCCACAAGGAGGCAGATACTTGATTTTGTGTTTCTACACAAATGTCTTCACGGTTTTATTGATTGTCCGGAACTAACCTCTTCAGTGTTTATTGCCGTGCCAAGCAGGACACTTCGCTCTCATCGTGTAATCGGCTGCTCTGAGCCAAAGAGCATGCGGCCCCTAGAACGTATTCAGTACGCTTTTAACATGTGGAGTGCAGTAAACACGCCGAAGGCAGATATTTTTGAGCGTAAAAATTTTAGCATGCGAGCACTGACCAGGCTTTTTTGATGGAATGTTTCCTTTGTTGGTACTTTTGAAACAATATAGCTAGGAAGACAAACTTCTACACATCAGTTTTTGCAATGTTGGAGATCACATTTCTTTTGTTATTGCACATTTAAACTTTAACTAGGCATGCTTTTGCATCTGTGCTGTTATCAAACATGTAAACATGTAAATGTACGCACTTCGTTGCACCCTCTTGTAGGCTCTTGGGCTGTTGACGGGCACCGCAAAAGTAATAAATAAATAAATAAATACCCAATGGCGCCAGGGAAGTCAGCTGAGTCATGTGATCAAAGTCAATATGCCAGAAACTCCATAGCCTACGCACGAAATTGCCTTTGCGCGGCAAAGGGATTGCGTAGTGATCGAAGCTCCATAGCAGGATGGTTACCGTCGTGGAGGCCTTCAGATACTTCAACGGTTTCAAGGCGTGTCGAAGCGAATACGAAGTGAAGAAAGCTCGGTGCCTCGTCACTGGCCATGTATACTGGCTGTTGGCATGCTTGGAGCAGACCAGCAGGCGTCCCAGTCTCAAAAAGGATGTTATCGGAATGGTCACGGGGGGCAAGGTCGCCGTAGGAACACCTGTCGATGGGGGTGTTAAAATTGCCGAAAAAAAAAAGGATGCTCGCATGGGGTTCAGCTGTGGGGGACTCCAGGGCTGCGTCGAGTAGCCGATGCTCTTGGGACACGGGCGGGCAGGAAATGAATCCCAGAAAAAATTTACTTATTTATTTATTTATTCTGCTTAATGTGCCCACAAACAGCTCGAGGCCTTATTAGTGCGCACATATTACAAAAAATGAGAGAACAGATACAGACAAGCAAACAACCAAGACGTGATTTAGAAAATATAAAAGTAAATAAATAAAACTACGGAGAACAACAGAGCACAGATGCTCCACGAGGAAAGAAAAACTCGGCAAAAAGTGATTCGAGGTCCCTGTGCTCGTTATCGGACTATTATTGAACTGGTGACAGAAGTCAAGCAAACTATAATTTTTTCTCCATTCTTATCAACCTGTAAGGCGGAAAGTGCGCCCACCATGTTGCGAAGAGGCACGAACCTTATACGCATTGTAACTTTCGATTGTGGATAATGTTGCAATAGTTGAATGAATGCTTGCAGTGGAAAGAATTCTCGACCGTGCTTTATTATTTTCGAGTTCAGAATAATATCTAAAATGTTGATTTTTTATTTCCCGATTAGTTCTTTAAATTAAAAGATTTGGCTAGATGGCGCAAGCCGTCGTCCGATTAAAAAGGTTCAGCGCCATTGATCCCTACAATTGACGTGACGTTATTCCAGGAAGCTTTGAGAACATCCACCAGGTGCAATTCGGTAATCGTTTGACTAATCTTAAATAAAATTGTTCCGTTAATTTAATAAAAATTGGTGTCTCTGTGGTGTTTCCACAACATAGTCAGCAATTCAATAATAAAAATAGGAACTCAGCTTCCACTTCCTTACTTCTTAAATATTTAGTGTGGTGGGACCTAACAAATGCTTTCTATTGGCATACGTGAAACGAAAGTGAGTAAATGCGCTCACACTAACGTAAACACACTAAAGAAGAGAACATTTGGGAGAAAAGCTAAACAGTATTGTATTTTATAATATGATATACTAAAAAAAGACAGAGGGTGTAGGTCAGCTGGTGATAGTAAATCATGATGTTTAAAACCCAGGAATTCTTTTCCTGTGCATTTATTATTTCAAAGTATCCCTCGCCACACTCTCGGGTTTCAAATATAATGATTATTTTTAGTTTATGGTCCACTTAAGGTCGGTGAGAGAATATAGGCGTATAATAATTTTTCGTGTAGATCATTTGAACTTGTCAAAGCTTTTCACTGAACTACACTGTGCGTCGACGAGGGTCACAGACTCTGACAAAAATGTTTTCTTTCTACAGCAACTGCTTTCCTCTCATGCTTCAAGACACTTGGTCGTCTTTGCTGATTCATGGCTCTAATTCGGTCATAATGGCAGCTCGTGAGGTCAGTGTCATCTCACTATACAACAGCAGCAGCTTTGGCGACCTCCGGCAAAGGAACGTCGTGCGTCCGACAGATCGTCAATTTGCGTAGCGCTGCAAGTTTGGGACATACTACATTGTAATAATTTGAGAACGTTTGAAAGTTAAATGAGAGTCTACGACATGCGTTTTTTATCAACCAGTTCCTAAAATGAACTAGAATAGAAATGCCCAGGATGCAAAATTCAAAATGAAACGTATTTATATACCGAAATAAATAATAAAAACTCAAATTGTAGAAGTGTTAATAAAAGTTTTATTGATAAAAATACAGATGGCTTCTTCAGTTATAGCGCTTGAAGCTTTTCTTAGAAATTATAACAATGCACTGCAAGTAAACTAGGCAATAAGCATGTGTATGCATCAAGTCAGAAGCTCATTTAGTTACTCTGTCAATTCGCGATCCCTAAACCACCATTCCTGCTCCGTTTATTAAAAGCAGGTGTCACGTATCAAGGACAGCAATTACAACAATTATCAAATGTGTGAAACGCACAGACACTAACGCGTAGCTCAGCTAAATGTATCGGTTGCCTAAGCTCTCAGAAAGCCCATTCTAGAGCCACGTCCTCGAGCCCGGGACTCTTTGAACCTGGCACAAAACACCTGAGACGGAGATTACAAAACTAAAACTTCTGCAAACAGTAACAATCCAGCATGTATTCAAAGAAAAAGAAAAATATGTATCTATTTCCTACGAATAAAGTTGGGAGACAGATTGTGCAGCTTGGCTGGAGCGGAACTGAGCGTTTATTTAAGAGCTCCTTAACGTCGAAAGTGAAGCTAAATTTGACGGGAAGCGTTTCCCCGCTAAGTCTATAGCACTAGCAGGAATACTGAATTGGTGTAAAATTATACACCAATCAAATTTCGTAGGTTCACTAAATTTAGCGCTTTATATTTTCGCATTACACGCTTTTGGGACAGCCTTTTCTTTTCCGAAACGAATAGAAGGAAATCATGGTTCAAACGTACCGACAGTTGAAATAACAGCTGTTAGACGCCCTTTTCTAGAAAATTCGAGAGACCGTCGATTTTGAAATTCTTTGCCTATGAATTGCATTTTATCATTGCGTCTGCACGAGACTTACAGGACACCATAGCATTTTAAGCAATTTTCGCAGTATAATCTACTTAAGAAGCTTAAGAAACTTCAGCATTCTTTGGAAGCTAAGCAGCTTAAAGGGCAACTCCTGCCCAAATTGTCGAATTGGGTATTACGACTGTTTTCAGCCCCTGCAGTCTCCCTGATTAAGAAAGTATATTTTTTTCTCGGTATTTTGTTTAGTTTCCTAAATATCGCGGCTCGAAGTTTTGTTTCGGACGTCTACGGCAAAACCGAAACTATACATCGGCTAGAGAGATGGCAACCCTGATCATCAGCCGTACGGTCGCTTCGTGACGTCACCGCGGTGCTGTGGTACGCTGTACAACGTGCGGAATCAATCGCAGCTTCACAGCGACGTGACGTCACCTGGATGCGCCACCCAGTGTTCCTTGACGAAAAGCTAACCCGCCTGCCATTCACTAAAGAGCAGCTCGGTGCATCTCTAAAAGTGATTTTAGGGGAATACGCGGCTTCACTTTTACGTAATATTTCGGCTGTGATCATATTTCGTGCAAATAAACAGATACGAGTAATTTATTTTGTTTTTTGATTCCGACCAGAGCTTCCCCTTTAAGTAACGTAAACAGCCTATGCTACCCAAGCTTCTTATGCGTCCTAACCACATTATGCAACCTAAGCAACATAAACGGCTCTAGTCACTCAAATTAAAGGAGCACTAAAGTGTTTTTGAGATCGTCTATTTATAGCGCAACCCCAATCAAGCCACCCTAAGCACCCTAGAAAATCCAACATTACAATCGTGCGCTATACTTTAGCCTAATCAAATGCGATGAAGCATTGCGACGCGCCCCTTTTTCTGAGATATCTAGAAAAAAGGGTGTGTCATGAATTTCTGGTCGTATTTCTAATTGCATAAAATGTGATGCGTGATCATAATTATAATTTCAGAGACGCAGGGCGCGCGTCGATTGAATTATTGCCATAAAAACAAGATCTCAAAGTTTACTTTAGTGTCGCTTTAATTAAGCAACTTAACCTTTCAAACCGAAATCTCGTGGAATGGTTCCTTCGATGATTTCGTTCAGGTAAGCGTTGACTTCCCCGAACGTTTCATGCAAAAGCTTGCCGGCCAAAAGTGGCAGGGGGCGCTTTGTAGCGAACTCCATCTCTTGACAGATGGTGGAAGCCCTCAGGGTACTTCCTCCGTTCTGAAGAAAGTTTTCCTGTGGATCAATGATGTCCGTTGTCCTGGTGGTGAATTTCTGCACAGTAATATTGCGAGGGTTACAAAATAGGATTTTATGTTTTCGTATAAATCCGAAACACTCCGAAAAACACCCACCGGTCAAATTTTCGTTAATCCCGATTTATCGGATAAACACCGAGTTTAGAGATCATGATGTCAAAAAGAAAAAAAAAAGTAAGAAACGTAGCAGCACGGATTTAGGCCAAGCATTGGCCAATGTCTTGCGATGGTCTTTTGGCCAATGCCCATAGAGTGCCCATGCATCAGCCAATGCTTGGCCGATGGGTGATGGCCAGTGACCAGTGGCCAATGGCCAGGGAGAGGCCAGTCATCGGCCAATGGCTGGCCACTGTCTGGCCGCTGGCCAAAGAACCATTGCCAGTGATTGGCCAATGATTGTCCAAATCTTTGGTTCTTGAGTCTACAAATTGTTTCGGTACAGGGTCTGGAAGTATGAGCTCCTATATTCTATTGGAGATGGTGGGAGGGCAGTTGGTGAGTTTGAATCACTAAAGCATTTTACCCGATGCAGCAGGCAGAGTAGGTGAATGGGATGGAAAGGAAACGAGTTTCCCAGCTTCTAGGGCCAAGAGGTTTCTGATTTTAAGGTATGGACGTCTAGTTAAGGAGCACTTTTCTGGAAGTTTTATAATTAGGGATATCAACGGCGAGGGCGCCAACGCCTAATTCATATATCACTCGATAGTTTCATTAAAATAAATTCGCCTTCATGACGGGACATTATATTTAATAAATTCCGAAAAACTTTGCATATAGGACGAAAAAGAAACTCCGAAAAGCATCTCTCGAATTTCACAATAAATAAGTTCCGAAATCAAGAAACTCTAGTTATAATTTATAAAGTACCTGAATGTACCGGCTTCGATTGCGAACACGGAACCCAAGTTTTTGCTCCGCATACAAAAACTCCTCATTGCAGAAAGCTGAACCTTTATCGAAATAAGACGCTAGCGTTGAGACAGAACGTCAGAGTTTGAGAACATGACGTTACCTGGATCAAATATTATCACAAATGACAGACGATGAGGCAGAAGAAAATGGAATGAACTAAAGATTTAATGGGGCGAACTTGTGGCAGAAACGAAAAAGAGAAGAACACACGTCGAGAGAGCAGCAGCGAGCCTGGACGACGGAAGCAGCAAGCGTCGGTACGTCGGCGTAACAGCTGGATATCGCTAGAGATAACCTGTGAATGAATCGGCAATACAGCGATCGGCTCCTTACCTACTATGCTTGTCTGTCATCTCGAATAGTCGACCTCGAATGTTCCGGGAAGAGCTCCCAGGAATTGAACCCTGGGCCCCCGCGCGAATGTCAAGCGCGGTAACCACTCGTCCACCCATGTGCTCGCTCGCCGAGGAGCGTGGCACTACTCCCCGTTTAAAGAGAGTATCGTGTCAATGCCACGTGAAAGAAAGAAAAAAATCAGAGCATGGCAAACAAAATAATAGGAAAATGCGGAGGCTGGCAATACACAGTTTTATCAAACGTTGCAACGTTGCACAGGATCATAGTTCACAGCCTTATTGTGCGTAGTACGTCTTGAGGCGCACGACGTGAGCGACTTCAGGTCGTGGTGGGCGGCTTGATGATTTTCTTGTTCTGTCGGGCATCACCTCGCTGTTCAGCTCCCCGAGGCGACCAAGTACCTTGTGGGGTCCAAAGTACCGTTTCAGTATTTTCTCTGAGGCCGCGTCGACGGATGGGTGTCCACACTCACACCCTTCCTCCGGGCTGGAAGTGGACGTTCCTGCGACGAATGTTGTAGCCGCCCGCGTCGACGCATTGCTGGTTTTGAATCAGGTGTCGGGCGAGCTGGCTGACTTCTTCGGCCCGTTGAGCAACCACCTGGACGTCGTCACTCTCATTGTCATTTGGCTCATGGGGCACCATAGCGTCGGGAGTGGTCGTTACCTTCCGACCATGTACCAGCTCGAAAGGTGTAAATACAGTGGTCTCTAGAACCGCCGTGTTGAAGGCGAACTTGACGTAGGGTAACACCTCGTCCCACGTCTTGTGCTTTACGTCGACGTTCATAGAGCCATCAGCCCGTTGGTCTGCGGATGATACACAGTGGTCCGACGTTGGCTGATGTGACTGAGCCGAAATATATCTTGGGTCTGCTGTGCCATGAACGATGATGCGCGATCTGTAATCAGAACCTCGGGAGCGCCATGCGGTAGGACGATGGACTCGATGAAAAACTTGGCGACTTCAACAGCACTCTCTGAAGGAAAGACTTTCATTTCTGCGTACCGCTTGAGATAATTTGTGGCAACGATTATCCAACGGTTTCCCAGGGTCGACAGTGGAAAAGGACCAAGTTGATCCATTCCGATCTGCTTGAACGGTGCAGTTGGCGGAGGAATTGACTGCAGGAGAGCTGCCGGCTTCGTTGGCGGTTTTTTGCGTTGCTCACACTGGTGGCATGATCGGGTGTAGAGATGGACGGTTTTGGGGAGCTTGATCCAGTAAAAAGTTCCACTAATACGGGCCAGTGTCCGGCTGTAACCAAGGCATCCAGACGTGAGGTCGTCGTCACATGCTTGAAAGATCTCTTCTCTAATGTTGGTCGGAATTACCAGCAGCCATGGGAGTTGTTGTCCCCGAATTGCTTTTTGTAGAGTACACCTTGTCGAATGGCAAAGGTCGGCAGGGCTCGTAAGAAAATATGCGGTACAGTACTCCCACGCCCTTTCAGGTGCTCGATTCATGCGCGCAGCTCCGGATCGTCTCGTTGACGTTGTTCCATGTCATCGGTGTTCACTGCTCCTTCGAATCACTCGTCATCGTCATCGCTGCTGCCGGAAGGTGTTTCAACAGGGGCCCTGGACAGGCAGTCGGCGTCGCTGTGCTTGCGGCCTGACTTGTAGACTACGGTCAGGGTGAACTCTTGTAGTCGGAGACTCCATGGAGCGAGGCGCCCTCAAGGGTCTTTGAGGTTCGCAAGCCAGCAGAGCGAGTGATGGTCTGTGACTACGCGGAACGGGCTCCGTACAAGTACGGCCGGAACTTCGTGATTGCCCAGACGACTGCAAAACATTATTTTTCAAACGTAGAGTAAATTCTGACCGACGTGGACAGTGTCCGAATTGCGTAGGCGATGACTCGCTCGGTGCTTTTTCGCACTTGAACCAGTACCGCTCCAATTCCTGCATTACTAGCGTCCATGTGAATCTCGGTTTCCGCATCCTTATCAAAGTGTCGAAGAACAGGAGGAGTCTGGAGTCTTCGCTTCAGATCGTCGAATGCCTGCTGCTGCTCCTCGGCCCATTCGAACTTCTCGGCGTCATTCGTGAGGTTTCTGAGCAGTTCGGAAATCCTTGCAAAATCCCGAACCAAGCTCGATAGTAGGCGCAAAATTAAAGGTATGTTCGCACGCCTTTCTTGTCTGTCGGCTCTGAAAATCCCGCGACGACGCTTGTTGTCGCTAGAGTGGGGGCAATCCGACATTCTTGGAGGATGTTTCTGACGGTTGTCTTTGGAAAATCCACCTCCAGGGGTTGCCGAACTTGGTTTCCCAACGAGGTAGGGCAGAAGAGCTGTCTCGGTGGGAAGTACGAAATGGCGAAAGGGACGTCATGCTGTCGGCGAAAGGGATCTCCGGAGGAAGCGGGTGCTGGTGGCGGCGGGCGATGCAGGTACTCCTTGATGTCCCGCGCTCATTCCCCGCTCCTCGGTGGGTGTACGTGTGTGTGTATGTGTGTGTGTGGGGGGGGGGGGGGCGTTCATTGCGAACCCACGAACCTCAAGCTGCCGGTAGGGGTATCGCCGGTACACGAGGTCGACTTCGTTGCAGTGCTTGCACAGCGGGCATCAATCAGCCGTGCGCCACACGTCCGACTTCCTTGGTGCCGGAGGTTGGGCTCGGACGTACGGAGCTTGTTCCTGAGTGCACCGAGCGTAATGCGGCGTAGGGGCTTTCCGCCGAGGGGGCACCGGGTGCTGGTACTGGCGGGTTGCTGTCGGCGATCGTCGGGCTATGGTGGCGTAGCTCAGGGTCGGTTGCTGGAGCGGCGCAGGGTTGACAGGAGCCGGTGGTTCGACGGCTCTCTGAAACTCTTCTCGCACGACTTTGTCGATGGACAGCGATCCTCGGCAGAAGGCACCAGATTTTTTAGTTCTTCGCGAACAACGTCGCGGATGATCTCGCGAAGCTCGTCGGCGCTGTCTGATCTCGGAGCGGACCGATGCCAAAGTTGAGACGTCGTTGAGCCGATGCTAGTGGCGATGTTTGTTGCTTCGGCAACAAACCCGTCAACTATCGTTGGAGGGTTGCGGACGAGGTTGCCGAAGATGTCGCTCTTCACGAATCTCCGTGAGAAAGCTCCACGTTTTCTCGTCGGTGGCATGCGGGTCGGCACGTGCACTTAGGCATACATCATACGCGAAGTTGGTTGCGCTTTCGTTGGGTGCCTGAATCCGCGTTTGAAGCAGATCCTCCGCCCGCTGTCGTCGGGTGTTGGGTTGTAAAGGTCCACTTTTAACTCGGCCACGCAGATATCCCACGACGTGAGCGAAGCCTCGTGGTTCTTGAACCATTTCCTCGTAGTAGCTTCCAGCGAAAAGTTGAAGTTCTGCATGTACTCCTAGGCAGTCCATCCATTGTGGCGTGCAACGCGCTCGTGGTGTTAGATCCAGTCCTCGACGTCCTCGTGGATTTCGCCTTCGAAAGGCGTCGGTGTGCAGGGGTGACAGGGAAGTAAACGACGGGGGAGTAAGCGGGTAGGAGTCTCAGTTTGCCGGTCCCGGGAGCTCATATTTGCTTTGATCTTCCACTTAAAGGGCAACTCCACTCCATTTTTACAATTTTTGGGTTATAATCTGTTTAGTCGAAGCCGGCGGCCCTGAATCACGAGATATAATTTGTTTTTCGGTAGTGTGTATAGTTTTGTAGATATCGCGAATTCAAGTATTATTCCGGCGGCACGGCGAAACCGAAACTACCGGTTGAAGCAGCTTGGCAACACTGATACTAGCGGCGCGTCGTCGGCGTGACCTAGTTCTGGTCCCGCGCTTCTCAGCCGACGCGCCGACAAGGTCGGCTCAATCGCACGTGGAGTTTCAAAACAGAAAGTTAGATGCACATTTTCTTTTTTTACCGCTTCACTTTGTTAATATGTACCAAATGTAGTAAGTTTTAGTGTGTATTTATAAATTTGCCGGCCGAAAAGCGAATCCGACTGCTATAAATATGACGCGGTCGGTGCCGGCGCAGCGTGACTGTATTTGTTTTTTGCTCGCGGACCGAGAGAAAACAAAATAACGGGAGATAGATGGACAGATCTATCCACAAGTGGTCTAAGTTGCTAAGATAAAGTGCCTTTATGTGCACGCTAGTTAGATCAGCCGCGACCTGCTGCATCCGGCCGATCGTGCTGGAGCAGCCGGCGGACGGTACGCGAACAGCGACGGCACAGCATCGTTCTTCAAAGACGCATGTTTCGTGGAGAAACCCGCAACAGTCAGCAGCCGCAGATCCCGTGCGTAGGTGTCTGACGTAAAGTGCTGGGAGCAGAGCTTCGCGTTGGAGGTCAGAGTCAACGGTCTTCCGAAGTCTATCCGGCGAACGGCACCGACCCACACCTTGTGCCTCTTACGCTCTCTTGGGAACTGGTGGAACCGCAGCTCCGGGTTGCGCACCGGGTTGTTGGTGCAACCCAGACCACTACAAATCCTGCTCGACATTGCCCAACGCGAGTCCGGCGAGTCTCTCCGGCTCCACGACGCGCGCGTGAGCGAGCGGCTGTGGAGCCGGAGAGCGAGCGGCAATGCTGAGCGAGCGGCACCGCTTCGCTCTCTTCCGCGCTGTCGCGGAAGCAATGCTGAAGGAACTGCCTGGAGGCTAATAAAAATAGGGAAACACAAAATAATGTGGTAAACACCTCGTGCCGTCAGCAGAATCGCAGAATGCCACGCGAAACGAAGCGCTCGCGGCATCCGTACGAGAGCGTAGGACTAGAACTACGTCATTGCCCAGTGTTGCTTTACTAGCTCACCCGGTGCCAGCGTTGCTCACCCGCTTTCGGGCCGCTAACCGAGCCGGGAGAACATTTTTAATATTGGTTTTAATCGATAACGCGGCGTCGGTTTGACGTAATATTTTGGGTATGACCGTATTTTGACCTCCTAAAGCGATATCAGTCATTTCGATAGGGTCGACTTTTTGAGTGGAGTTGCCCTTTAAGGTCCGGTAGATTTTTTGGGGTGGCGGCTTTTCTGCTCTCGCTTGTCTCAACGGACGGTCTTCTTGAGCCGGGGGCTGGGCTTGCGGTGCGAGGCCTTGGAGGATTACGCTTTGTAGGCCGCGGTACCCCGCACCTCCACCAGAAATGTCACGAAAGAGAGAATGAGTCGGAAGAAAACGAATTGAACTAAATATTTAATGGAGACGAACTTATGCCAGAAACGGAAAAGAGCAGGACACACGTCGAGAGACCAGCAGCTAGCGTGGACGATGGAAGGAGCAAGCGACGGTACGTCGGCGTAAAAGCTGGCTATCGCTGGATATGAATCGGCAATGCAGCGATCGGCTGCTTATCTCCTATGCTTGTCATCTCGAATAGAATCTTCGAGAAAGAGCTAGGGCGAGGCTGACTGACCAGGTCATTCTGGCCTCCTCACGCACGGCGTAAGAGTGTACGCGAATCTTCTCGATGAACGAAGACGCGTATCTCCTCGATCATGCATGCGGCAATATAAAAAAAAAGAAACGGTTTTTTAGTACCAATGTCTACCTAAGCTTAATTTTGGCAAAACAAGACATTGTGGCAGACTTGTGCCTGTTTAAAATACTATTGTCAAGATTCTGTATTCGAAGAACTTTTGGTAGTATTTTGGCGTCTTTCAAATACATTTCCTCTAAGGTATTTTTTACTCTATCTAAGTGCATTTCTCACTATCTTGTACTCAGCATCTCAAACACATTTTTCAACCCTTGGACAAAAATATGTCCGGAACAATATACGGAACTAGAGATCGTTAATCTCGAGGAAAAACCTGTACCGATTGCATACTTGGAGCCAAGCTACCGAATAAAATAACTGGAGATAAAACACGAGCAAAACGCAACCTCCAAATGCAAACAAAAGTCCAAATGGACAGCCCTAAGTATGGCCGCCTCTATGCGTCTTATTGTCCGTTTTTTTTTTTTTTTTCTCTTTCGTGTTCCTGAATGGCATATAACGCTTAGAGCTTGCAAAGTTCTGGTGACGTCCTCCGAATTTTACAGACTGACCCCACCTTTGTTCGAAGATAGAGTTGTTTTTTTAGTAAAGGATTGTGACGCCAACGCTCGGAACGTTCTAATGGAACATCTTCCGTAATCGCCAATTCAGGACGTTTTGACATGCAAATGTATGAGCAAGTTTTCAAGCAAGCGCAGACACTCCCTTGGCCAAAGAAGCTAGATACTGCTGGTTTTATTGAGCAGCATTGACCTACGTTGGGCTTTACTAAAGCCACTTTTCTGCCTACTGTGGCTTAACGTTTGCTCCAGAGCTCGTTCAAAACTTAAAAAATTAGGAACAGCGCGCAAGAGGACGAGGAAAACGAAAGTAGAGCACAGGACGAGCGCTCCTCCCGTGTTCTAGTCTCGTTGTCTTTGTCCTTTTGCGCGCTGTTCCTAATTTCTTAGGTCATGAACCAACTTGCTTTTCTTTTATAATAATAATAATAATAATAATAATAATCTTTATTTGCTCAGGAGAGCCGCGGCACCGCAGAAAGGCAACAGCCCGTACCAAGGAGGCCCGTGGTGCCGCGTCTAGTGAAGGGGATTATGTGATGATGTAATATACAAGATGAGAGTGCTTATGATTAGGATATGTGCGTTAGGCCTAATAGCATTCTTCGCGGTTGTGGTCTTCGCGGTGCTGTCATTGGCTCCTTACTTCTAGCAGGCCGGTCTCAAACACCTGGAGTGGGCTCCTCGCGTGTCCGACTTGCATAGTAGCCGGCCGAATTACCGGCGACGCAGGGAATCCATCACCCCCGCGGGCGGGCTCCAGGGGTTGGCGCCGGTGTTGGCCGAGCGGCGGTCTTTACGAAAACGGGCCTTGGAGCCTTTCAGCCTGCGGTCCAGCTTGTAACTGAGCAGCCTGAGCACCATGTCGATCGAAGACATGGTCTGTGCCACTGGTCCGGCTGGCTTTCGGACGATCGAAAAGACACGTCTTACGCCCAGTTGGCTTCTTCTTCCTTCTTCCGAATGCGCGCATTGTTCCATCCTCAGAATCCTCAAACGCAACTTTCGCGTCTGCTGGGGCCAATTATTTTTAAACTGATAGATTCTGATCCTGTGATCTTGACCTCAATGCGCCAATAATGGTTTGAGCTCATTAGGAAAAGGTGCGAGGTAAAGGGTAAGTGACTTCATGGACAGTCTCTTGTGTTACCTGTGTTACCCTCTGGACCTTCATGCTTTCTTTACAGTTTGAAGGTACAGGCGCTCCTCCTTGCCTCTGACCAGGGGAACTCACTCTTCGAGGTTGATCATCAACAGAGGTTGCTGTCCTGGAGCCGACGCTTCTCCTGAGTTCACTCGCGTACTCAACAAATCTGGCTGCCTGATTGCTGGTGCGAGAACGTACCTGTGCGGCTTTTCTGTGCCTGCTGCACGAGTGCTATCTTTAACGCACTACCGCGCCTCCCACAGACTCACGATCATTTACGATTCAGCGGTTTTTATGATGTTCCAGCAAGAACATATTGCCGCGCGCGCAGCTGGCCATGTAGGCAGCGCGCGCGTGGCCTAACGGTAATCGCGCTTGCCTTACACGCAGAAGGCCAGGGCTCGATTCCTGGCCGCGGCTACGCATTTTTGTTGACACTGTAATGTGATGTTCTGGTGAATTCGAGAACCGTCTTGCTGATTCGAGGTTAGAATGTTCTACGCGCGGAACCTTCTACGCCGAACGATTCAGAAACCCATGAGGGTACATAAGGGATTCCGCAAGGCGAGCGGAGTCAGTTTTCGCACCTGCGTTCGACTCTGCTGCTACGCCGACTTCGACGCCCGCGACGCTCTGTTATTATCGTTTGTACTCTTTTACTTTTGGCACAAGTTCGCCACATTAAATGTTTATTTCTTTCTGTGTGTTTATTGTTCTTTTGGTCACCACCCGTGACGATATACCTGGCAGAATATTTTTTTTATTTTCTCTGAATAAAACATTAATAAACGAAATTAATTTGCCGACTTATCGTGACAGTTATTCCCCTATTCTATGTGCCACTGACCGCATAACTGTACTGCATAAACATCAGTAGTCTAGGTGTCGCGGTTTTTTAAACAAATATCTATTTATTTATTTATTTATTTATATGGAACTATTTCTTACCTTCCACAAGGTAGACAGAAGCCGATTGTATGCAGCAGCATGATTCATCTTCTTTGAAGTTGTTTTAAGCAGCGCCTTAAGGTCGAGTTTCCCTGTGGACAAACGAACAAGAAGCGGTTTCAATGCCACAACACGTTATCCCTTAAATATGTCGCCCGAGTTCAAATCTCGGCTTTTTAAAGCGAGTAGGACTGTAGTTAAGACACTGCTCGCACCAGGAAGGTAAACACCAACCACCCATTGGAAGGAGTACGAATGCTCTCAGGCTAGGTGGCGCGAGCTACCGCGCTATAAGAAGGGTATGGCAACAGCCATCGTTTCGTTTAACCATGTCAGAGAGACCTTATCAGCAAACTTATAGTAAGCGCGATAAGCGTAATACACGGGCTTGACAAAATATTATGATCTATATTTGCATCACTACTGCATGATGCACGTTAAAGACGAGCAGTCGCACTGCCGTGGCTATATTTCCTATCAACAGCGTAAACCAGTGTTGCCATACCTCAAAGGTAGACCGGCCTTACAGTGTCTAAGAACCAACGTCGAATTTGTTTTGTTTTTGAAAAAAATGGCCGAATCCGACCAGGCGCCGGCTACTCATGGCGTTACTCAAGGCGTGACGTTGAGAGGAAGCACGTAGTGCCAAGCGCAACCCTTACTTTAAAAAAAAGTATTGGTGTAGTGCATATTACAGGAAATTACAGTGATAAAGTTTCAGGCAGGTGGGTTGGAATTACTGCAGATATGCAAACTATTTCATATTTTAAGAGTTCTAAACTTCTCATATATTTATGTGATAATTTTGTTTTCCAATTCACGAATAATATGAATTTTAGAGTGTCTACGTATTCAAGCAAATGTATCTGAATGCTGTCAACGCATAACACAAGAACAAGATAGGGCATTCAAATGAGATTCGAAATACCAGAGGACGCAGTGGTCGTTGCTATACAAGAAGAACCGGAATTTATTCTTTGTATTTGTAGCTTTTACCATTCCTATTTTACCCAAAACCATCTTTGCGTAAACTCGTGTTTTTTTTTTTTTTTTGTTATTGTTGAGATTCTGATTTCACCTTTGTACTACTACGTCTTCTGTTTGAACATGTTTGCTTAGTCCAGTACACAGAATAGTAGTCCCCTTGAGTTGTTGACGCGCGTCTTCTGATGTGTTTACCGCGTCCAAAAAAGGTGGTCCCTCGATTTCCGCTTGATGACGTCATGGAAGTGCATGTTGTCGATTGCCGCGATCCTGGCGGCGTCCGAACAGCGTTGGTGGATGCGAGAGACGCCTGCTTCGCTGCAAGTCGCCCTCCAGCCTCACAGACCACGGAAGCTTCGTCAGACAGAAGTCAAGTCGCCGCGACGACAGTGAAGCTCGCGTTCGCTCCTTTTTTTCGCTAGCATTTTTAAAACCAACCGCCAGGATCGCGACATCTGACAGCACGACAGGCCGGCTTCCGTGACGTCATTTGTTGCGTCTGAGGGACCACTTTCAAACCGATGGGCGGGAGGTATAAGACGCTAAACACATCGGTCCAAGGCGCGTTCCAGGTACCGTAGACAAGACATCTGTCAAAACCGTGTAAAAAACACAGTTTTCGCTGATGACTGCATTGATCAGAACTTTTTTGCTTGATACATTATGCTTCCAACAAGAAAGATTTTTTTACATCCCCATCTTGACGGAACCTTCATGCGACGAAGGCCTCACGCAGTATCTGCATACTGTCTTTTGTATGGTGTAGTGGCAGTGCCAAAAGCCGCTAGAAAGTTCGAAGAAACAAAGTAGAAACTTTCCATGGGCCACGGACGGAGGGCTCCTTTTTGCGGTACTGCGGACATCCCAAAAAGCTCACCGTGTGTGTTCATCGGCGACGAGTTCAACGGGAGGATTTCGAACGGGCAGAGGCACTCCGTCTCGATGCTTTTGGTCAGGGAGGGCAGGGCGTCTTCGGCAAGGCAGCCGGGCGACAGCTTGACGAAGATGTACAGCATCTTTTCTTCCTTCGAGAAGTGGGTCCGACAGCTTTCGACGGAAGGCGAGCGGAGCAGGATGGCTGTCGCGGGACCACCGCGCACCTTCCGGCCATTGTACTGGAAGCTCGAGTCGTTCCTATTTAGGAACGTCAAGACGTTCCCGCATTTTTTCACTCGATCGCCAGAGTCTCGAAAGAGTACCGGGTCGACGTCTCGCCACGTCTCGTTGCCCACGAGACACCGGCGGTTGGTTCCACCTGAAATATCGAGTCCACAATAACTGAACGAACTGATCTTTTAGATAGATGACTGGATGAATGCACCCCTTGAATCGGGCGGTGACTTGCGCCACTAAGCCAAATAGTATTTTCTAGCTCCAGATTAAATGATGTCTAAGTGAGTTTAATCATTTTTAACCGTTATCCGCCCCTTAATTTCAGTCACCATTCCTCTCATTTTTTGAGGTAAACTGCTTTACTTATTGAAAACGTTTTGATTCACGGTTTTTTAGTTTCCTGAGGTAGTCAGGCTCCTCACGAATGGTCAGCGCCGTCTACCGGCAAATTAGAAAGCGTGATTGGTGGCCTTCTAAAAACCTATAACGAGACGTTTGTTTAAATGAAGACTTGGGAAAGTTTCTGAAATATTATCGACAGCAATAGACAGCAGCTCTGTTGTCTGGTATTTTTATGCTGTTGCAGCCCGTAATAGCTATTACGTCTGTACCACTGTTGCAAAAGAAGACGGAACATATTTGCGGCGTGTTGCAGTTGAAACACTTGGGTGCCCTCGGCTCCATGCTGTTATTGACTGCTGATACCGTCCCATAACCGCCATTCACAATGGCGGACAACGCGTTTTACACTACCACGCACGCGCATAAACGCCCGCAAAAAAAGAAAAAGAAGAAAAAAACAGTACGCATGGTCATAGATAACCCTGGGAAAGGCTCATTGACCTACCTCGTGCGAAGCTTAGAGTAACCTGCGGGAAGACTGGAACCGATGTTTTGCTAAGAACATTTAGAAGCCGAGTATCTCAGAGAAACATCTGTCGGCAGTATTATCCAAGAGGTTCCTTTAATCGTCTTAGTACAAACTTGGACCGCCTTTTGTGCTTTGTTTGAACTATCTCCAGTGAGGGGATCAAGTTGAATACGATAAATAATATCTATAAGTAAGCGAACGTACAATCGCTGGAATAATTTTCGGAGTTGAATTTATTGCCGAACGCAGTTAACAGTAAATGGGCCTAAAGTTATATCAATGCTCAACTTCATTGTTTGAAAAACAAGACGTTGTAAACCAAACGTAATACAGTCATGCCACTTTAATATGGACCACGTAAATATCGTACTCCGTTACTACAATGTTTTCGTGGACGAGCTGGGAAAATATTATTTTTATTTCTCCTTATGATGAATGACTCATACTATGAACGATATTTGATGGGAAACCTGCACTAGCTTCGAGTTTTTTTTCTGAATGTAAAGAATTCAAGCTGAGTTCTTCACCTGGCAAAGTTAAAAAATAGTTCATTGAACCCATTGTTTCTGTTCTTTTGTGCTTTTTTGCTCTTTGAACTTTAACAAGTCCCTACATTCTTAATGGCAACGACCGGCATGACGATGCAAGTATTGTAAAACAAATTGCGGCATATATATAGATCGTAATATAGCAGAAGAATAAGCTCAAAGACGCCACGTCCTTTCACTGAAAAATGAGCCTATACTCGGAGACAACGTTTCTTGACGTTCCCAAGGTGAGGACTGGCGCTCACAGCTTCAATCAGCGCTCAAAAGGGAAGAGGGCACGCGTGCTCCTAGCTTTGACTGCACTGCCAAGATAAGTTGCCCCCGAACATAGTTATGGATGTTGACTGTACTTACTCTTAAAAAAAGGAAAGCGGTTCCGAGCGTCTGGGAACCATATTTCAACTTGTACGATGGTACAACACTTACCGATGAAAAGCGTGCCTTCCCCTTCTTCAATGACTTCCCCTGAATCGTTCCGCACTTCGAGTAAGGTTCCATCTAACGGATCGCCGAGGGGGACAGCGCTGTGAATAGAGCGAACACCCTCTCAATCAGTAGGCCTCTTGCACTCGGACAGTGGGCGCGAGCGCGTCTAAAAGACGTGACCATGTAATCTTGGCTTCGACGTCTGCAAGGCGCATATATTATGGTGGCGCTGTAGCGTCCGATTATGCACGAGCCATGTTCGGATACAAGAGTCTGTCAGCGCTTGTTTATGAGCGTAAAAAGAAATGAAAATAAAATAAACAAAATGCGGCCTAATGTTCTATCGAAACGCTGAGCAGGGCACTTTGTAGACTCTAACCAATATCTTCAACGTGCCCGACGTTTCGGAGCCGGCTCGGCTCCTTGATCACGGGTGACTGTGTGTCGGCACAAAGGTAGCAATCTGTCGTTGTTTTCTTCTTCTCTCTCTCTTAGCATTGTTTTCTTCTTCTGTTTTTGTGTGTGGTACATCTTAGCCCGTGGATATAGCTGCTTTGCAGTGTTCCGGTGGATTGGTTCAGATTGTGGTTAGTACATTTGTATGTGCCAAGTATCTAATAAGAGACGCTTTCTCCAGTTTCTTTCTCTATCGAGGATGGAACTGCTGTCAAACCCGATGACGTGGCCGGTTTTCTGAGCTTTTCCAAAGAACTTTCCCGAACGTCTGCGCAGACATAAGTATGACGTAAAGAAGAAAGACATCCAAGGCAACGTGCTGGCGGAACATGCTCAGAAGACCGGCTACGTCATCGGCTTTGACAGCAGTTCCATCCTGGATAGAGAAGGAAACTGGAGAAAGCGTCTCTTGTTAGAATCTTGACACATACAATGTACTAACCACAATCCGAACCGATCCAACGGAACGCTGCCAAGCAGCTATATCTAGGGGCTAAAATGCGCTACTGACAGAAACAGAAGAAGAAAACAATGCTAAGAGAGAGAAGAAGAAAACAACAACGACAGATTGCTACCTTTGGGCCGACACACAGCCACCCGTGATCAAGGAGCCGAGCCGGCTTCGAAACGTCGTGTACATTAAAAATATTGGTTAGAGTCTACAAAGTACCCTGTCTTATTACTTACCTAGCCAGGCGGAGTTCAGTCGAAATGTTTACTTTTAAACGCTAAGCATGTATTCCTTTTATCTGCCATGTTCATGCTTTTCTTTAATGGCGCCTTTCCGCAACGCGAGGGAGCGTACGAACGCGCAATCTGCTCCTCGGTTGCGTCTTGTCCTCACTTCGTCCTCGTCTTTGCTGCGCACGCACAAATCTTATACGAAGCGACCTAAAAATATTCAATTGTGCTCGCGAGGGGCGCTGCTGAAAGCGTGAGAGCTACAAGTTGTCGAGAAGCTGAGGAAGAGGAGGATTGGGGCGCGCGCAAGGACGCCGGAACGTCGAACTCTGATTGGAACAATTAGTGGGGAGACCTAAAGCCTTTCGAGGAGTCGAGCTGACCACTCCTTATCCAGTGCACTCGGCATCTCGAAACTTTGACCTGGAATGTTGGCGACAGGCTTGTGTTGTGTATGCATAAAGCCAGGTAACAGGTTCCCATTCTCACCACCAGGGTGCGCTGGTCTTTGCCCGGTAAATTGTGTCTTCGCCATATTAAATTTGTTCTTTGTGTGCTGTTCCTCTGAATGGGAGCTTCTGTTCCTCGGCGCTTCGGCGCGTCACAACAATGGCGACGAGGATGGGATGGAAGATCGAACGAACCGAGTAACAACGTGGCAAACAGCACAATGCCGAAGTTCACGGAGTTCAAGCCGGAGGAGGAGGACGTCGACGAGTATCTCGAACGCTTCGAGATTTTCCTTCGAGTGAACGCTGTCAAGACGGAAGACAAGGCCGTGACGGTGCTGAACTACATCGGGAAAGCGTCGTACCAGGTTCTGAAAACCTTGCTCGTCCCAGACTCGCCGGTATCGAAATCGTACGATGTACTTTCCGAGGTGCTGAAACGCCACCACGCGCCCGAGTGCTTAGTGATTGCAGAGCGCACGAAGTTCCATTGGAGAAATCAAGAGGTCGGCGAGAGCCTAGCGGACTTCTCCTTGGCTATCAAGAAGCTCGCCCAGACATGCGCGTTCAAGGACTACCTCGACCAGGCTCTTCGGGACCGGCTCGTTGCGGGGTGTCACGACCCTGAGGTACAGCGGACACTCATCCAGCTCGACGACGATTACTTCGACGAAGTTCTGAAGGTGGGCCTGGCCACAGAACTTTCTCTGCGCAAAACGGACGAGATACGACAGCCCGGCGTTCCGGACTCGATGGACGTGCACCGCGTTCAAGGTGATGGTGAAGGACACTCCCGGTGTCCACCTTCCGCCACTGCATCGCCACAGGTCCAGTATCAGCGTACGGTAGGCCCTTGTTTTAGATGCGCTAGTACCGTGCATGCTTCCGAGAAGTGTCCGTTTTTGAAAGTAAAGTGTTTCAAATGCGGGAAGCAGGGGCACACTAATGCGGTGTGTAGGGCCAAGCCTAAGCCTACTTCGAACGCTAAGCGCGGACCTTGGAGCGTAACCTGTATGCGGAACAATGACGCGTCTGCGGCATTCCAGAGGGTATTGGAAATGGAAGGAAAACCGGTGACGATAGAAATCGACACTGGTTCAGCAGTTACTTTGATGCCAGAAAGAATGTATGTGAATTTGTTTTCTCACGTGCCCCTTGAGGCGAGTGACATCCGTCTCCGAACGTACACCGGGGCTCTAGTGCCAATTAAGGGTGTAGCTAGCGTTAATGTAAAAAAACGGGGAGCTACCAAGCGAAAAGTCACCTTTGATTGTGGTAAAATCCGCGAATGCCCAGCTGCCAGCTCTTCTAGGCAGAGACTGGATCAAGCAGTTAGAAATTAACTGGTCGGGCGTGGGTCGTATCGAGAACGAGACGATGACAGACTCACTGAAAAGGTCGTTTCCTAGCGTCTTTGAAGGTCCAGTGGGGCCAATAAAGGGTTTTCAGGCAAGGATTGTACTGAAAGAAAACTCTCAACCTGTGTTTTGTAAACACAGAGTGGCGCCATACGCATTCAGAGAGCAAGTAGAGAGTGAGCTTGAGAAAATGGTGGCGCTGGGCATTCTGAGGCCTGTAGAAAGTAGTGAATGGGCAACACCCCTTGTCGTGGTTCCCAAGCCAGGGGGTAAAGTTCGCATCTGTGGTGACTAAAGTGTGTCCGTAAACCCATAGGCGACGGTGGATCACTACCCATTACCGAGGGTAGATGAGGTGTTTAACAACTTTCGGGGGTGTGGCATCTTTGCTATTTTGGACCTAAAGACTGCATACTTGCAGTTAGCCCTTGACGAAGCGTCGCGGAAACTGCTCACAGTGACCACTCACCTAGGATTGTTTGAGTTTTTACGTATGCCTTACGGAGTCTCGATTGCACCTGCAATTTTCCAGAGTGTAATGGATAAGATTTTGTTAGGCCTAACCAAGGTAGCATGCTATCTTGATGATGTACTTGTGGGTGGCGTAGACCAAAATGACTGCAACCAGAGAGTCTTGGAAGTGTTGAAACGTTTTCAGGAACATGGACTTTGTGTGAATCAGGACAAGTGTCAATTTTCTGTACGCGAAGTGCGTTACTGGGGATACTTGTTGAGTGACCAGGGTTTGAAGCCATGCTCTGAGAAGGTAGAGGCTATCAAAAAGGCACCCGCACCGAGTAACGTGACGGAGGTTAAGGCATTTGTGGGGCAGCTAGCTTTTTATGCTCGTTTCCTCCCAGACTTAGCTGCCAAACTGGGACCTTTGTATGAATTCTTAAAGAAAGAAAAGAAGTAGCATTGGTCGGAAGAATGCCGACAGGCTGTAGGCAGAAGCAAAGATCAATTGTGCAGTGTAGACTAGGGTCGTAGAGGACAACCGCACCCCCGACAGTCGAGAAACTTATGGCTGTCTTCGCACAGTTTGGACTACCCGAAGAAGTGGTGACTGATGGAGGCCGCCAGTTTCGAAGTGTACAACTTTTAGCCTGTACAACTGTACAGGCTAAAAAGTGGTTTTTAAGCCGTTCCTCACGGTTTACCACCGGCTCCTAAGCAGCGCAGCCGGTGCAAGGCCGCCACAAGACACTTAAATACCGGCTTTGTTTAACCGCTCATTCACACTGGAAGCGGATCCGCGTTCGCAAAGCGGTTGCGGACGCGGTTGTATAAAGATCCAGTACAATTGCACGCGCACTTGATGTAATTAAGTGCGCGTGCAATTGTACTGGGTCTTTATACAACCGCGTTCGCTACCGCTTCGCGAACGCGGATCTGCTTGCAGTGTGAATGAGCGGTTAGACGGTCGGAGATAAACGCAACTGTGTGACTGGGCGTTAACACGCAACCGTGCCTCCGCTTCTGCCCCACCACATGTACACACTTTTGCGTAACATAACATTAAAATGGACGAATGGTGGCTGCTAGTTAAGCGTTGCAGTAAACCCAGTGCGGCATTTAATATGATGAAGAGTTTATTTCTATTGCCAGATGCGTAGTGCAAAATCTGCTAAATTGACAAAGCTCTCGTCAACTTTCAAAAAATAATATAATGTAATAGTGCTACCGCCTAACACTTCACAATATTATTGCCGTCGGTGATCTATGTCGGTATCCTTCAAAAGTTTCCTGGATTACTCCTGGTGAAACAGATTTTTACTGTTTCTAATATCTAAGAAAAATAAACCCTCACTTTTTCGTTAATTTTTTCGACCTTCAAAATGTTCGGAAATTTTGCATCCCGAATTGTACGTCACGTACGAGACCGCCCTATATAAACCTGCTGAAACGCTGCTGAGGAATTGATCAGGAAAAAAGTGCTTACATACCCATCTGTTCCGAAATCAATTTTTTGGCAGGTGGCAAAACACGACACCTCGGTGATGCCGTACACGTTGAAGAACTCCGTCGCATTTCCATTGCTCTTCCAGCGCTTAAGCACGCTAACTGGAGGACACTCTTCGCCTATCAGAACAAGGATTCGAAGGCTCGTGTCCTGGGACAGCAGGGATTTCTTCACGATGTCGGCTCCGATGGTGAAGAAGAAGCTAGGAGTTGCCTACGCGGAAATGACCAGTTTAATAAAGCTTTAGATGTATAAGCCGGAAGCTCTTAAGCAGGGCCTGGCAAAAGTGCTCCAAAAACGTATGCCGGAACAGAAAATACTGAAATACGTGTATTTTAAGGCCCAATATAAAAATACTGAGGTAGATTTTTTTACGCAACAAGATATGCATGAGATGTTTTTAAAAAAGTGTGCAAAAAGTATCCCGGAATACAGATACAGATACATACTGAATATTTTTTCCCCTTAATTAGGCCATGCTGCGCGTATGGATATAATGACGAAGTGCATTTCAAACAACCTCATTTGTATAGCAAGTATGAAATATTAGCGAAATTGGAGCATTCGAATCGTCAAGCGATACAAATGTTTGTTTGATCAGAAAACGAATTTGCTAGCTTTGAAAGTGAACTGCTTACACTTCAGCATCAGTAGCATAATTCAAAGGGCCTATCACCACGGCACCGACGATTTCGTCGCAATACCAGACTAGCGAGAAGAAAAAAAAAAAGCCTCTCTACCGGTGCCGAAATGTATAAATACCACCTTGATGGAAGGGAAATACTGGAGCATTGAGGCACCATTTCTGGTGTTCGACAACGAAGCGAAAAACTTCCGCCCTCACATTTTTGTGTTCTGATTTTCCTGAAAAGACAAAGAATCAGTTTCTCCGGAGTCGTAGAAGACGTAGACGTGGTCTGCCCGAAATGAGCCCTGGTTTAACCTCCTTTCTTATTTGGAACATAACTTAAAGGCCGACGACCAGACTCGAGATTCTGCAAGGCAGAAGACCCTCCTCTCCACGCCTTCGGGCGTGGGAAGCGAAGGATGGAAAGAAGGGACCAAGAGGGGCGGGCGTGGGTGGAAAGGGTAGGAGGGAGAGGAGGAAGCGGGCGAAAAGTGGAAAGCGCGAACTGGTCGTCGGTCATTAACCGGTAACTTTGAAATGCTAGGGTGCGTCGTAAACTTTGGTTTAAAGTTTTTCCGAGTAACCCTGGAAAAGGGGAGGGGTGAGGGCGAGAAAAAGATATTGAACAAGAAAGCGGGCCCACGGAATCTACAGGAAACGAGAGACCTGGGAAAAACGACTGAGCCAACTGATCTTTCTTCGAACGACTTTTTTTTCAAGTTTGTTGATTCCTTTGTGCATTGTGCAAGGCAATCTCTCCCCCCCTTCCCCGACACAAAGACACACGTTTAAATGATGTTATATGGCGGTTTCAAATGAAAAATTTTAAAATTTTAGAACCCTTTGCACCAGTAAATGTTTGAAAAGAATGCATCGAAATAATTAAGCGTGACTAAGTATCGCGAGAAAATGCATGCCTCGTAAAAGTACTTCACCGTTGAGATACAAATATTTTTCTCAATTGTTTCTCGATGCAGAGATGCAGATACTCAAAAGTATCTGCGAGATGGTATTGCGATACATTTGAATCGCGATACTGCCGTTCTGCTTTCAAGTTTGGGGAGTAGCTCTGGTGAGCAAAATAGAAAAGTGAGTTTGGTCGCGTTTCGGCTGCGCGTAGTTACGCTTTGCCACGTTGCTCGCGTACGCTAAACCGGCAGGATTTTATTGATCATATTGGTGGACATAAATATGTCAACGAGAAAGAAAGCTAGAAGAAAAACATTCTTATTGCTTAAATAAGACTAAAAGAAAAAAGCTGCATTTTTTATAATTTTCAGATTTTTGCTTCTTTTAGACGCTCTATACCACGCTGATGCTGGCAAACTAACCGGGACTTGCGCATAACCGAACGCTGCCTTGCTGCTTTATGCTGGATTCAAGCATTACATCTATGGTGCCTCGAAGGCATCCCACACTGGTGTGGTCATCCAACACTAGCCAGAAGACAAGGCTGGGACTTCCCTTCTAAACGCCATCAGTGGTGGATACAAGCATCGCCGCGTAGAGTAGGTAACAACTCAATAACGGAGCGAAAAATGCTCCTTAATGGAAATGCCAATCTTCCGCGAGGAAAGCAATATCAATCGCGCCTAAGCGTGTCCGTGACGTCATGATTTTGCGAACCAATCCCGTTTTCGTGATCCCGTTTTCGTGATCCGAAATTTTTTCAACAACTACAAGGAATTCAATATTAACGTTGCAGTAGCATTGTACACTGCACCTTTTGATTTAGAGATAACGGCTTTTGTTTTACTTTAATTTATTTTTTATAAATTGGAAACTTTTCACAAACTAAGCTTCTCTAAGCTGATTTTTGCATCGGCAACCAACCTATCAATATTGTTCCCTAGAAACAGATATACTAGTATCGTCGGCATAAATGACAAATCGGGTATTACTTGCAATGGTGACTATATCTTTTAGAAACAAATTAAAAAGCTGTCGTCCGAAAACAGCACCTTAAGGTACCCCTTTCGCACTAGTTTCAGTAATGAAAGAAAACCCATTTATTTCAACTGTTTGCTGCTTATACAGTATTGAAATATTGCAAAAGAATGCCCTCGAATTCCATAAAAAGTAAGTTTTTATTGTTAAATTTTATAATTCAGCCGGCCAAAGGCTGTCGAGAAATCAATACAATTCCGCAACATTACAATTTTATTTGCAATATTGCTTTGGAGTATTTATTTTTGCTGTAGAGAAGCCAGTTCTGTGGAGCGACCTTTTCGAAAGCCATATTGAAAATCAGCAAGTATCGCATTTTTTCACAATAAATGTTAAGTCTTCCATGTAGAGTCTTCTCGAAGCCTTCAAAAAAAAAAAACGGGCAAGATTGAAAATTGTTTTGTAAATGCACATAATATTTCTATCTCCGGACTTATATAAAACAGATACCTTCGCAATCTTAATACCCCTAAGAAAAACACCAGTCCAGAGCGACAAATTAAAAATATGCGTGAGACAGGGCGTAATAATATCAATCACGTTTTTTACCAGCTGCACCTGTATTCCACAAATTGATACATTTACTTTTCTTAAGGTTTAAATACGCCCAAAGTACTTCATTCTTATCGGTATAAAATAACAACTAATTTTCTGCGATGCTTTGAGTTAAACACAAGCCACCACTTGCTAATTGAACGGGAGAAAATAGATCCGTAAAATAGTCACGGAATGTATTTCCTAGATTTACCCCAGTCAACGTATTTCCTTCAATTACAAGTCCTTTGATAAAGTTTTCTTGACCGTTTTACTCTAAAATAATATTAATGACTTTCCAGATAACGTCACTTCTATTTTCGTTCACATCGCAGCGGCGATATTTCAGAGGACATTCGTGGACAACTCCCTTCGTGCGAGGTGTGCGGACGGTCCTTGTTTCTGATACCAGCGCAATCTAATTCAGTCCCCGTTCTGGTCCAAGAGTTCCCCGGCCAAGATGTGTGGAGTTCTAAAAATCTCCGGATCCTGCAGGTCGCCTCGCAAAAGGATAGAGCACCAAACCTTTCTTCAAGGAGCAAACCTTCTAAAGCACATCTTTCAGGAACGAACATCTACCGCTGTTATGCGCAGGACACTTTTGTTAAGTTTTGCTGCACCAAAACATAAAGTGACAGTATAACGCTTAACGCACATGCCAGTGTAAATAAGAACTATGTTTCGCTTGTTGGCGACCCAGTTAACGTAACGCATTTTCTTGTTAGTAAATCTTTCTTTTTAATTTTCAGGCTGTCGCTAAAAAAGTAAATGATGATGAACACGGATATATTAAGACTAACCATTTTGATCAATGTGCAATACGAGTATCGTTTTTGCGACATTTTTCTTCTCAGCTAGTACAAGTTAAGAACGCTTGTCTCGTGTTTCGTTGTGCCTGTCCTTTGTTTTTGCGGAGACTATGGATTGAATACGTACAGATGAGTAGCAGATTACTGCTGCGAACATCTAAGCAGCAATCATCAGAAAAGGCATATTTACCTGCAGGAAGCTAACTTTGTGGGCCGTCACAAGCTTAACAATCTCTGAAGGTCTCTCCCCGATAACATCGGACGGGAGGAGTAGGGTCGCTCCCGATGTCAACGCCAAGAACATTTGTATCACAATGGGATCGAAGGTCAGAGGACACGGCCCACAAATGACGTCCTCCGGCGTGATGTTGAAAATCTCCCTGCAGAAACAATATTTTGTTTTTAAAGTGGAAACATGAAAAACTGTGAGGAAAAAGTGCGTAAAACCGTCGGTCATAACAACATGTTCTTTAGACATGTTTGGAGCGCACATGTTTCAAACATGCCCGAGTCCTGTGCGCAGATACTAATTCTATAATCGTGTTTTTTTAGCGAACACTGCGTTTTTTATGATGTGTTACCTATGTTACTGTGTTTTAACAGAGCTGAGTAGACGTCTTCAGAACGGTGAGAATTCGAGCCACCAAGTTTGGCTTAATATTTTTTTCCACCCCTTAAAACCGGATACCAATTGACGTCATGGCCGAGTTAAGAAATGCATAAACGTAGTCTAGAACGTTTTATTTACCGCATACAAGGGAGTTTTCATTAGCATAATTTCGAAACAAGTTTGGTGGGAAACGCATTTTGCGTTATAAACAGACAGCGGTCTGAATGCAAGATGTCTTATCGATCTCACTTTTAGCATAAGTCACCTTCAATCGAGCTTGTTCAAACGTATTAGCACCGACTGGATATATATTATTAAAAGGGAGGATACACACAAATTCAGGCGTTTTGTGATTAGCTAGAATTTACGAAGGAAGCGATATTTTTCTCTCTTTTTTTTACTTGCTTTAACGAGAAATCGAAAGCCATATTTCCGTTTGTGTATATTTTCAAAACATATTTGGAACCATCATAAATAATAGTCTTGAAGGCTTTTTTTATTAAGAACAATATCATAATCTTAGGCGACGATGAATTTCAAAGACATCGGTCTACAGAGCAAGCTCTTGGCATCTAAAATAAAATAAATTATTTTAAGAAAAATAAATTTTACACTGTGGGAATCTTTCTTGATCGAAATAAGGCTTTTTATACAGTGCAGCACGAAATATTATTGCGGAAGCTTGAGAAATATGACATTTGTGGTGTAGCGCTAACACTAATAAAGAGTTATTTGCCTGATCGTTATCAATTTGTCACCGTCAATAAAAGACCCTCCTCCAAGAGAGAAAATACAGCATGGTGTTCCCCATGGATCCACCCTACGCCCCTTATTATTTTTGATATACATGAATGATTTAACAATGATACCCGGTGCGCAGGAAGTAATCATGTAAGCTAATGAGTCAAGCATATATTTTAGTGGCTTAACTAAACAAAAAGTTGAAAGCACGACGAACTTTTATCTATTAAAGCTCTTAGAATATGGCTACAAATAATTAAACTTCAATTGGACACAAACATAACTAAATACATAATGTTTAACCCTATTGGAAATTCTCATTTGTATGAGAAATTTCTGTGTCCAATAAACACATATGAATCATACAAGATATATAAGAACATATAGGAACCGTATAAGAACCATATAAGAACTATATAAGAACTATATAAGATATATGAGAACATACAAACACCATATAAAAAACTAGTGGGAAGTTTCTAATATGTTTCTTATGGGGTTCTTATATATCTGATATAATTCTTATATAGTCCTCATATAATTCTTATATGGTTTTGCTATGTTTTATATATTCTTATATATCTTGTATGATTCATATGTGTTTATTGGACACAAGAAATTTCTCATACAAATGATTTTTTTTTACTAGGGACACAAGACTTAATCCAAAAACTAAATTTTTAAACTCGATATTGGAACAACTGAGTGAGCGAAAATTTCCAGGTGTTTGATTCACGGAAGATCATTCCTGAAAGAGCCATACTGCCGAGCTAAATGCCGATTTGTGTAAAACTATTGGCATTCTGTTAAAATACAAAAAAAAAAAAATAACTGTTCCGCTCTGGCTACAAACGAATATATATTTTACTTTATTTTACTCCAAATTAAGTTAAGCAGTTTTAATATTGGGTACGACAACCACTTTAGATTATATGAAATTATTAACTGTACAAAAAGTTTTAAGAATGAACAGAAACTACATATGAGAATATAGAAACTTGCGCATTGATCCACTTTTTCTTAAACATAATATGCTGAAGGTCAATCAGATATATTATTTCCAACTGCTGCAAATAATCCATATGAATCAATCCTACCTGACACTCGATGATCAACAATCAGCAGCGTATAACAGTGTCCGAATCGCAAATTACCTTGTATAAGAAGAAACTATGGGCGACAAAGTTTTACTTTACAAATTGCAACCTTCCGAAGTCGTGAGGAGTTTGAAATTAGTTATTGAGTGTCTACACCGCAGTTTAAACGAAATATTATAGAGTATCTTGCTACCAGTGATTTTGTTTCCTGTGAATGTTGTTTTGGGGTTTTACTCTACTGGAAATTATTATTGCATCGAGTGCCGTATACCACGTGAATTTATAAATAGCTAAAAGCTTCTGAGTTTCTGTTGTGCCTCTCAGATTATATCGTAAACTTGCCCATATTTTTATGTGTTCTTCTCACTTATGCGTAGAGATATTTTTCTTGATTGTGTAGATGTTATTTTCTTCGGTACTTCTCTGTTTTCTAATTTCAATTCGATATTTCTGTTGAACATTTACGTATATTTTTGGCACTTTAATTTTTATTTTATTCCAGAACAATATTGTGGAAAAAGCTATTGTACGCTGGTATGACTCGTACACTGGTATGACATTTTTTTTGTGCTTATTTGTGCTTTCTGTATAGGCTTTTATAACTCATATTGAAAGTGTAATTGTCTTGTGTGCACTTAGTTCTTATGTCACGTGTTGTAGGCCAAGATTGAGCTAAGACCTTGTCAGATTCACTATATTTGCCTTAAGCCCCCCCCCCCCCCCCCCCCCCCCCGGTCTGCGGACCAAATCCGCAGGAAGAAATAAAGAACGAATGAATGAATGTATGAATGAATGAACAAAACGCACGAAATACTGCTTTTGTTAGGCAGCCTGCTGGATTTGCAAGTTATGCATTGCGTGGCGTGGCTCCGATAGAGAGCCTGGGAAGATTTCAATCTTAGTTTTTTCATAACCTTCATTTGCCTTTTTTCTCTTTAGGTACTTTGAATTCAGAGATAATGCATAGCATGTCGGGAAGATCAAAGCCTGAGTATTTCGACACTCTATAAAAAGTATTGAGATGGGAGAGTACTATTACCTAAAGTGAAGCACGTTAGGTACGATGCAACAGTGGGGCACCTGCACCGTCTTTGGTTCTCCAGTTGATCCCGAAGTCCACATTGTGTAAGCCATCTCCGGATCCGCCGACCTTTCTGAAGCCTTGGTGTCTGTCACGGTGCCGAGACACTTTGCGAGGACATGGGTCTGGTTCAGCACCTTTCCTAGGACTTTCCATGAGCCGCTCTTTGACAACGGGCTCTGAAAGTTGGAAACTGTGAGTTATTATCTCTCAGCTAGGGATGCTGAGAACTTCGGTTGAACCCGATGTTCTAACCCGAGGTTCGACGATATACCTCAAGGTTCGACTGATTCGGCTAAGTTTCGAACATTGGGCAAAAGTCGATGTTCGACTTCTTAAACGATGTTGCCCGGCATTGAAATAAAGAAAATTACTTTTAGAAACAAAAATGTATCAATCAAATAAGTCGTATAAAATGTTAGCTAATTCAATTACAATCATGCATCATTAATACGGACCCAATTCATATGGAGACCTCGCTATATAGACCACATTAGGGAGTTTTCAATTTGGGGGCCCTAACCCTTGGGCGCCTCATACCGTTAGGGGCGTCGTATTGCGCATGCCCAGTGCAACTCCCCAGGTTGCTCGGGGCATCCATAGCGCCGGGGTCCCCGTTTCTAAAACTCTTTATTTTCGGGGACGAAGTGAGCGAATACTTACATGTTTTTTGTTTTGCTATTACGTGCACCTCGTGTTATGGACACATTCTGAGAGAACTGAGCAGTCCATATTAACCAGACAGTGCTGTATCTCTTTGGTCTTTGACAAGTTACGAGTGCAGCTAGGACAAGGTCCTCCCCACAAAGCCCTCCACTCTTTCCACTTTAGTAGAGGGAACGTTGGAGAGGAGGAGAAGATGGACACGCCTCCTCTTTAGCGTTCGCTCCGCTAATGCGGAAAGAGCGAAGGGCTTTGTTGGAGGAGTTTGTCCTCCATTATTAAGCCTGGTTTGCGCACTGGCATTTGCTTAACACCAACGTTTCGCAATCTCTTGCGGCGAGGGAACAAAATGTTTGCGAGATCAAGTGTTCGAATTGTCTATGGGAAATAGTTCGATGTAACCTTGCGAAAAGTGTTTCAAGCAAATAAAAAAAGAATAATATCCGAAGGAATAAGAAATTTACCAAACATTAGAAGCGTTCCGCGGCCACTTAAGAGATGGCGCTAGTGTGTTCTCTTTTCGTAAGGTATCTCAAGATGTTGTAAGGCACTCGGGCGTACGCTGTCGCATGTGTGTGGCCAGCCTTTACCCGCCTATAACCTCAACTAGGTGCAAGCTTTGGGCAAGAAGTCCGCATACCTGGCTGAAGAGGACTTCCTCGGCGAGCAGAAGTGACACCGGTATGGACTCCTGGAGTTTTTCGAGGCTCTCTACGGAGTTCTCCACATCAAGGGAGGCAAAGGAACAGGATGCCTTTAAAATCCTAATCGAAGAGAACCAGAAACGAGAAACGTAGTTAGAGTATTAGGAGACATGATGTGCATGTAATGCTCATAAGGGTCCTGTGATTTCACTATCTCATTCAGCGCTGCGGCTTTGTTATCTGAGAAATATTGCGCGGCTCATCTTCCTGTCTAGTTCCGCTCCAGCTGTGCGTGAGACTTTGCCGAAAGCGACGGGGCTCGTTTTGAGAAAAACCAGGCGGTGTCTGTCAGTTTGTCGCGCCGGGGAGAGAGGGAGAGGTTTACGCGTGCTGACTTCAGCGCATCGGACCAATGGGAGCGTCGCACGCGTCACACTCTCCCCCTCCTTTTCCGTCTTTCCCCGGCGCTGACAAACGAAAGACACCGCCGGGTATTCGTAAAAACGAGCGTTCTAATGTTACCGCATTAAAACAACGACATATAGGTTTCTCTTCGTACAGCAAAAGGTCAGTGTGCCTTCGACGTGCAATGAAGGTGCAATTGCACTTGATGGGGCTAATCGGATGGGGCTTCCTCGTGGTGCTCGCACCGTAAGAGGGCGCCGAAGGAGGAGGGAAGAAAAGAGGGGTAGGAGAGGGAGGTGGGGAGAAAGGAAAGGGATGGAAAGAATAAGGCAGGGACCGTGGGAAGCGGGTAGGGAGAGGGAGAGAGAGAAGAGAGTCATTGTGAGAGGGAAGCAGGGGATGGAGGGAAAGGGCGGTGGGTCAGCATCTAAATGAAGGCCGTAGCGCTCCGAGTCGTGACGTCACAGAGGCGGGAGGTGGGAGGTCACGTCGAGAAGAGGCGCCCACTCTGTTTCTCTTTGCCGCGTCGTCTGCCCACTAATGTCAGGCGGTTCGTTCTTGGGCAGTTTGCGTTTTTAAAGCGCAGTCTTGCACAATTTATTCTATATATAATATAAACGTAATACACAATGCGTTACCAAGGTTGAAAGTACCAAATCGAAATGCATGATTATCCCATAACTGGTACCACGGTTCGGTCTCGCTACTCCCCACACATTTCCAATGAACTGGCTCCGGCGACGATAATTTCTTCCTTCATACGTGCCCCGATTCTGGTAGATTTACGTTGTGTCTGAGCTGCGGAGTGTCTGGAAAGGAACGCCGATACATTTAAGAAGAAAAGAGAACCAAAAAAAGTACTCTCACCGCCGCAGGGGACGCACACGAGCGAGAGATGTGTTTTCGATTTTCGTTCGCCTTTCGTTACTTTCATCCCACACTTCTGCCGCTGCTCTCGTGAGTGGTTCTTTTGTGTCCTTTTGATACTGCGGCATTTACGTAGATTCGCGGTCCTGCTACGGTGTGAGAAACATGTGTGGCCACTAGTCATATATGGCACTGGTGGATTATCGATAGACCTCTCTCCTTCGACAGGGAGCGAGTGTTCATGGAGTTCCGGTTCAAATTTGTTTCTGAGGGATATTGCGGGGCGTAGGAATATGATCGGGCAGGTGACGGGCTTTCTTGGTCATGTAGGACGCGAGTAGGGTACCGCAATCGGTTACTTTAATCATGTGATAGAATGGAATCTTGTTTTTATTGGTTATCCCTGTGCAGTGTGCGATCCTTAAAAGTGCGTTGTTTGGGCTTGTGTGTTTTGTTTATACTAATGCTATTGTATTGCCTCTACTGCGTTTATACTACCGTCCTAGCTGTATTACGGGAATAGTGTTATTGAATAAGAATTAAATTATATTTTGTTCTATGGCAGCTCGAGCCCATAAAGAGAAGTCGGTTAGTTCACTGTAAATAGTACGTTTAGTGCCCTTGCCACACGAAAAAGTTAATATATTTGCACAAAGTGATATTATGGGATCGAATCAGTTCGAAACGCTGAGTGACTATAATACGGGGGTCGCGAACTGATTTGCCGACCCCATCATGTCATTCGATCTAAATGACATTAATTTTGCCATGTGGCCGGGATATAATGCAAGAATTCATTGACTGCAAGCGTTAACATCGCTTACATAATTGTGACACATGTCCAGCGTTGTCCAGCTTGGCTACGTCTGAGCAGAGGTCGGCATTTTAGGTCGCCCTCACTCACCCTCACCCTCACAGCCACACTCACCTAAGCCCCTCACTCACCCTCACGCTCACAGCTACACTCACCTTGAGCCCCTCACTCACCCTCACCCTCACAGTCACACTCACCTTCAGCCCTCCACTCACCCTCACTGAACCTCACGGCCCTCACGCACTCACCGCCCTCACGGCCCTCACGCCCCTCACGGCCCTCACGGCCCTCACCGCCCTCACAGCCCTCACGCCCCTCACTCACTCATGGCCCTCACGAAACTCACCGCCCTCACGCCACTCACCGCCCTCACGGCCCTCACCGCCCTCACGGCCCTCACCACCCTCACGGCCCTCACGCACTCATAGCCCTCACGCCACTCACCGCCCTCACGGCACTCACGGCCCTCACCGCCCTCACGGCCCTCACCGCCCTCACGGCCCTCACCGCCCTCACGGCCCTCACGCCACTCACCGTCCTCACGGCCCTCACCGCACTCACGGCCCTCACGCCACTCACCGCCCTCACGGCCCTCACCGCCCTCACGGCCCTCACCGCCCTCACGGCCCTCACCGCCCTCACGGCCCTCACGCCACTCACCGCCCTCACGCCACTCACTGGCGTCACCGCCCTCACGCCACTCACTGCTTATTAAGAATACTAATGCACCTTTGTGAAACAGTTTATTTCCAAAAAACGATCGATTTCAAACCAGAACCAACTCTTTCGGTGTCATCATCACCGGCACGGGGTATCACGTGAAAATTTTGCGTCCCTGATTGGATGCAGCTGCTTCAAACGTATTCGAATTGCTCCGAGTTGCTTGCTTATTTCGAGCCGGACCCGATCTCAGCAATTCGTGTCGATCTAGGGAAAGCTAGAGAACAACCCGTCATTAACACCAAAATTGCTGAGAAAGATGCTCGATCTGAAGGGGGCCTCACGCACTCACCGCCCTCACGCACTCATGGCCCTCACACCACCTCATGCACTCGCCGCCCTCACGGCCCTCACGGCCCTCACGCCTCTCATGCCACTCACTGCTCTCACGCACTCATGACCCTCACACCCCTCACGCACTCACCACCCTCACACCACTCACGCGCTCATGGCCCTCACGCCGCTCACCGCCCTCACGCCCCTCACGCACTCATGGCCCTCATACCCCTTACCGCCCTCACCGCCCTCATGGCTCTCACGGCCCTCACGGCCCTCACCGCCCTCACGGCCCTCACCGCCCTCATGGCCCTCACGGCCCTCACCGCCCTCACGGCCCTCACGGCCCTCACCGCCCTCACGGCCCTCACGGCCCTCACGGCCCTCACCGCCCTCACGGCCCTCACCGCCCTCACAGCCCTCACCGCCCTCACCGCCCTCACAGCCCTCACGGCCCTCACTCACCCTCACACTCATGAATTTTCCTGGTTCACAAACTCACTCACCCTCACCTCACCTGTGAGGATGAGGGTGAGTGAGGGTGAGTGAGGGCCCTCATGAGTGAGGTTTGCCGAGGTATGCGTCTGAGTGATATTTAATGGTATCCAATTTGCATTGTCCAATCAGTGTCTGTCTCGCAATTTTGTAGAAGCAATTATGTGTA